GATGATAACACTAACCATACAACTTTTTTTAAATTTAACTTTGTTTAACCAAAAAAAACTCATTTTGAATGGATTTATTTGTATACAAACACGCTCCTAACTTCTCATTTCTATAACGCACAGGGTTAAAATTAAACGAAGTTACCTATGGTTTCTAACTCGGCCCGAACAACGATCCAATTTGGCTTTTGGGTTATTGGTTCAGTTGTCCAATTATCAGACTAGTTGCTGAAACCAGATAATTAATTTTGAGAAACTCAAAATTATGTATACTATTTTTATCTAATAAATACATAAAAGAAAATAATTTACATACAAATTTTATTTTATGTATTTTTATATCTTCACATGTTATTGAAAGTAATTTTGAAAAATTTGACCGGGACCGGGTAAAATAAGGTTGAGTTGGCTGGATAATGACCGGGTCTATTCGGTCACTTTTTTTTTTACTGTTCCGGATGACGCACAAAGAGGGACAATTTTGGGTTAGAAAACACTGGAAAGTGGAAACCATACTTTTACCATTCAATTTAGAACTTCATTATTTTCTCTTTTTTTTTTTCTTTTTTTTTTTTCAATCCTCCCTATATATAATTCCCGAATGCGCTGAGTCTACGTGGCTGCTTCTGGTGCTTCGGAATCCTATTTGGCGAAGAATCATGCTTCGTAATTAGGTTTGAATAAATAATATTGATATATTAATAATTAATAATTTAGGTTCGGGTATTCCATAAATATTATTTAGCTAACTTAGGTATTTTAATAGCACTTTTATTAATATAATCCTCTAATTCTTTGTAATTTTACATAGTGAGGCACTAAGTGACTAATATATCCATGAATTTTGATTTGTTTCTTTCAATAAGATATTGAATTATAAATGTATTTTAAAAGTTGATAACTTTTGTATTTCTTATCGGTTTTACATATATAATATATCAAATTAATTATCTTTTGATGATCTTCGATTTGACATCCATATTGTATATATGAAATAAATAAATTATATTTATCTTTATAATAATAAAAAATAATAATATTTATTAAAATTTATTAGAAAAATAAAATTATTTCTCAATTGATATATTTATATGTAATGTAGTTATATATTGTAAGTTAAAAAAATCCTCCCTATATATAATTCCCGAATGCGCTGAGCCTATATGGCTGCTTCTGGTGCTTCGGAATCCTATTTGGCGAAGAATCATGCTTCGTAATTAGGTTTGGATAAATAATATTGATATATTAATGATTAATAATCTAGGTTCGGGTATTACATAAATATTATTTAGCTAACTTTGGTATTTTAATATCACTTTTACTGATATAACCTTTTAATTTTTTGCAATTTTACAGTGAGGCACTAAGTGACTAATATATCCCTGAATTTTGATTTGTTTCCTTCAATAAGCTATTGAATTATAAATATATTTTAAAAGTTGATAACTTTTGTATTTCTTATCGGTTTTACATATATAATATATCAAATTAATCATCTTTTGATGATCTTCGATTTGACATCCATATTGTATATATGAAATAAATAAATTATATTTATCTTTATAATAATAAAAAATAATAATATTTATTAATATTCATTAGAAAAATAAAATTATTTCTCAATTGATATATTTATATGTAATGTGATTATATAATGTAAGTTAAAAAAATTAGTATAATATAACACAAGTAAGTTGTACAAATAAAAAGTGTCATAATAAATATATAATAATATATATAATCTTATAAAAGGTATTTAAATTTTTAAACTACTTTTTCTCATTAATTTTAGATTTAAAAAAAATAAATTAGCAAGCACCCGTGTAATACACGGGTGTTGTACTAGTTAGTATAATATAACACAAGTAAATTGCACAAATAAAAATGTGTCATAATAAATATATAATAATGTATATATTCTTATAAAAGGTATTTAAATTTTCAAACTACTTTTTCTCATTAATTTTAGATTTTAAGAAAAAAATTAGCAAGCACCCGTGTAATACACGGGTGTTGTACTAGTAGTTATTATATCGCAGTGATGTCTACCAAACTTAATTGCAATTATAGTGAGGGTGGGTAATGTAGACCTCTTAACTTAATATATTGGGCAATGCTAGTTAGTGATCATTATAATAACACCTTCAACCATGTTAATGACTTGTTAATCTTTATTTATTTCAATTAGTATTTTGAAAAATATTTCGAGAATTACATAGAATTTTTCTTTAAAAAAAATCAACCAAAAAAGAGAAAGATGAGGAAAAAAATCGAACAAATCCAGGGACTCGAATACAAAATATTTTCAATAAAATCCAATTATTTTGAATTCAACCATCTTTTTTAATTCAATTTTAACGCAATCTCACTCTCATCAGTATTATCAATATAAATAAATAATATCAAGCAATACATCAACTTTAATATACTATACACCCACGTACGTAATTTTAGCTATTTATCACTTTAAATCACGTTGTTCCTACTTTTACATCAAATCAATCATAGTTTTTAAACCCGGATCGGTAACCGACCCGGGCAGGTCTCCAGGTCATCCGGTCAATTGCTGAACCGAATAATTAATTTTAAAATTTTTCAAATTATATATAAAATATTTTTTGTCATATAAATATACATAAAAGTAACAAAATTTAATGTTTTGTGTATAAAATTTGTACATTAAAGTGTTAATAATATGTATCTCATAATAATATTACCATATAAACATATACACATAGTTTTATTTTGAAAAATTAAAAAAAATTAAAAAAAAATATGACCCGGCCGGGTCAATGCACCGAGTCGGCCGGGTTGGCCAGGTTTTGACCGCGTTTGACCGGGTCCCTTGTTGCCCGGTCCATATAACCCACCCAAACCAGTTCCGACTACGGGTCGGCCGGTTCCAGAGTCAACTCGTCGGACCGGTTCGAATAAAAAAATTATAAAATCAATTTTAATTATTATATTTTTAATTATTTTAATGTACCCACTCACAATTTATCATATTGTATTTGACAAAATTGCATTTTGTGTCCCGTAATTATGCGTGTGTGACAAATGTGGACAATTTTTTGTTGGTTTGGCAAAAGTGCCCCAAAACTTGTTAAAACCCAGAATTCGTGCCCAATTTACCTACAAATTAACGGATTTGACCAGTTTTCGTGTGACAAAACATGATAGTAACTTGTTAAAACCCGAAATTCGTGCCCAAATTTCGGATTTTAACAAGTTTCAGGGCATTTTTGTCAAACTAAAAAGAAGTTATCCGTATTTGCCACGCATCTCTAGTTACATAGCATAAAATACAATTTTGCCTATTGTATTTTTCAAAGTTAATCAAACAAAAAAAAAAAAAAA